CCATTCTATCAAGTTCAGGATGGTGGGGAGGATGGTAATACCGGTGAATTCTATGAGCACGGGTCCATTGTCTCACTTCATTTGCTGTACACTGAGTTCCTTGATCAGAAGCAGTGCTGTGTGGAATACCGCGACAGTGGGTAAGGCATTCTTTACGTCCAAGGATGCTACTTTTGGCAGAAGCATTGCACGCACGGAAGACAAATCCATATCCAGAGTAAGTGTCTCTTCCAGTAAGAACAAAATGTTGTCCTATCCATGGTGGAAGGGATTCAGTGTGATCAAACTGCCACCAGATAACTGGCTGATTATCTTGGGCAGTGGTGCCACACTGGGGACTCAGTATCATTCTTTACTGCTGGCAGACTGGGCACTTAGTAGCAGCAATAGTGCAGTCAGCCTTGGCAAGTGGAAGTCCATGTTGCTGAGTCCATGCACAACCTTTATCCTTGCCACCATGGCCACTTTGTCCCTGAGCCCATTGGGTGATGACAGGGGTGACTGCGAAAAGAGGCTAACTAGTATCCACAGAACAGGTCATTCTTCCGTTTAATTATTCAAACCCTCCTCTGCTGAGGTCACCCATTGGTGAACATTCACATTGGATACAAATATATTCACATTTTTTTTCCCATTCAGAGAGGTTTATTAACATAAATCGTCCCCAGATTTCCTTGTACCAATCTTCCATTGCTGATCGTTCCTTGGTGCATAATCTAACCCCAAGTTTCTGCAGGCAACAGTGTTATCAAATATTTTTCCGTTGTGTAACATGGACACTATTTTTAAACTTCCATTATCATTATCCATTACCTACAGAAGAACTACTTAAGCCAGCAGGGACTCAGGCTGAGGGAGACCCCATACATGGCTTCAGGGTGAGAGAGAGGTGGAAAGCTTCACATTGTCAAAGTGGTAGAGAAGTATTATCCTTTTTTTGTACTCAGGATTAGAGGATGTTAGTGTTAGTGTACTTAAGTATCTTCTACCTTAAGAGCGTAAGTTTAGACATTGAAATTCACCATCTCCTTTCCATCACTGAGAACCTATGCAACTCTGTAACTAGGGCATCAACAAAAGCAATCACAAATTCTTGCACAGTTAAAAAGCATAAACTCTATGATACATATAGATCTTTGCTTTAAAAAACAGAAAGGTAAGCTTGGCTTGACGGAGTTGTTATACAGAAGAGTTGAGGTTCTTGAGTTATGGAGCCAGGAGAAAAACATACATAGTTTTGGGGAATCATGCAATAAGCCCTTCCAAGAGAGAACAGTTGGCTAAACTCAACCCAAGAAAAATATGATTGAATAGGTTTCATGTACGCATTCCTATTCCTCTGTGGCTTGCTGTATTTTGCTATATTAGTGGAGTTTGTTTTGAACTGTGTTACTTGTGTAACACGTTAGTACGCTGGAGAGAAAAAAATCATATATGAACCAATGCGACTTCAAGAGTACATTGTTATTCCCTACTCACCAGTGACATATGAGCTTATTTATATTGCAGGAAATATGCATTGTAGCAGAAAGGCTGTATTAAGTAGAAAAGTGGAAGGGTGCCAGAGAATCTATAGTTGTCAGCCTTATTCTAATCTGAAGTCATGAGGGAAGGCTTTCTGGAGGAAGTGATTGAAGCTAACACCTGCAGGATTTTTCAAGGCCATGTTGTTGTAAAGGTTAAGAGAAAAGCATTTCAAACAGAGGGAAAATTTGGGGAGAAATATTCAGAGACAAAAGGGCAAAAACAAACAAAAATCTGGGACTTTTGCAAGGAGCTAAAGAAAGTTCAGTATTTTTGGAGGTGAGGGAGCAGTTGGTGTGAGATGAAACGAGAGATGTACAACAGGGCCAGACCAGGATTTTCTTCCTTAGTAGAAATGGAAGACAGTGACAAGAAAAAATTTGGTTGTTAAATGGAGAATGGTTTATTACAGGGGCGAGAGTGGGATCAGGGAGACCAGCGAGAAGGTTATTGCAGTTGTCGAAGAAAAAATTTGATTGTGGTTTGAACCCAGCTAATTACAGTGGGGAAAAGAGCAAATGGATTCAAGAGCTATCAAGGAGGTAAAACAAGTAACACCTAGGGCTGTGTGTTTGCATGTCGGGGGTCAGAACAGGAAGCATGAAGAATCAAGAATATAAGGTTAATTTTAGATCTGTTATACCTGGAACAGTAGAGATATTGCCCAGTTGCTAGTCAGATATATGAGCCTGGATTTCAGAAATCAAGTATGGGCTGAGGATAAATTTGGGAATTGACGACACAAAGATGGCTGTTAAAACCATGGAGTGAATGTAAGAATTTAGGAAGAGAGTGCAGAGGAGAAAACAAAATTGAGCTTGTATGACTCTTGTTTCCCAATTGATTTTTTTTTTAACATCTTTATTGGGGTATAATTGCTTTACAATGGTGTGTTAGTTTCTGCTTTCTAACAAAGTGAATCAGTTATACATATACATATGTTCCCATATCTCTTCCCTCTTGCGTCTCCCTCCCTCCCACCCTCCCTATCCCAATTGATTTTTGTACCCCAGAGAAGCTTCCCTGGCTTTCTGTGCTCTTGGTCAGTTTAGCTTAACCCCTGCCGAAACAATGCCTGTGGTGATGATCGTGATGGAGCAGGTCAAGTGGCAGATTGGGCCCCAAAGAGATGCATGGCTAAGACTTCAAGGGTGCCTATCCATGTTGGCTGCTCAGCAGTGGAGTGCCAGGAAGAACAGGAGGCAACCAGCTTTTTTCTTCTAGTCTAGTCTTCAAAATAGACAGGTTGCCTGAACTGCTTCCCGTGGCAGGCACTGGAACCAGTCCAAGATGCTGGGCAGCTATGACTGGTTTCTCTGAATTACACACAGGTAATGCCATAGTCAGGTGCATTGGCTCTACCATTTAATAGTCATGGCACCTTGAGCAGCTTCTCCGTGACTCAGTTTACTTCCATGGAAAATGGGTATAATTATAGTAATTATCCAATGGCGATATTGTGAGGATTAAGTTATTCAGTGCATGTAAAGCACTTAGACCTGCACTTGGCATGTAGTAACTTGAAATAAGCATAAGCTATAATTATTACTTATCTTTAGGTTCAGTGTGGGCACAGAGGTAGTGATCAAGGGAAAAATGGTAGGTAGGTAACTAAAGGAGGATGGAGCTTGGCAGCTCTCCTCTATGAGCACAGTGGGAAATAAACAGAAGTTAGTGGGTACAGTACTAAATATGCCCATTCTCCTGGATTGTTACACAGCCATCTGCTAAGTGGTTCAGTGCCTCCAGTGCCAGGCACTGTGCACGCCTATGGTAATGTCAGGAGTCAATGACAAGAGTGACATTTTCTTTAACATCTTTACTGGTTACCATTTAAATTGGGCAATCACCGTTCATGAATCAGTTTTTCTGAGGCGAAAGTAAAATCATGTTTAATGAGACCAAATTTACTGGGCTGGATATTGGCAGGACTTGAATCACTAACCTGTACTCCGGTTTATTTAGTAACTCTGAAGCTGTCCTTCATACCAAACTTGGGTGTAACACCTGTATCATTCATTCAACAAATATTGATTGAGAGCCTACATTGTGCTGGGGTGCCATTCTAAGGTATGTTAGTGATCAAAACAGGCAAAGATTCTCACCCTTGTACAACCTGTATCCTATGTTATAAGGAAGGCACAGGGAAGGTGTGGATAATTCATGTAAAACAATTTGCACAGGTTTTCTGGAAACAAAATTTCCCACCTGATTGATACAGTTTTCCAGTGGTTCAACCTGCCTTTCTGACAAACTGTATTTTTGTCCTGGTAAGCCTCCCTTCTCTCTGGGACTTCCTGTGCTCTCAGTTGATATCACACACTTCAGATCTTTAAGTATACTGGAGACCATCTGGGCCAAAAGTCTCATTTTATAGATGTGACAGTTGAGGCCCAGAAAATAAAAGGAACTTGGCTTATGTCTTCAGAGCGAGTGACTGCCTTTGTCAGATGTAAGATTACTTGTAACAAGTTTCCCCTGAGAATTAGATGAAAATAAAAGAAAATAGTTCAGTGACTCCCCACACCTACCCCAATGCATGATGCTCCAACTCTTGAGTCTTACAATTGTTGTTTACTTAGAGTGTATTTCTGTATAGAAGACATAGAGCTTACATCACTCAGAAATGGTTTTGGTGAAGGCAGCCGTAAATACCAAAACAGCAGTGGCTTAAATAAAAGAGAAATTGATTTCTGTCTCATGTAAAAGAAATGCAGAGATAGGCAGCTCAGGGGTGGTGAGGTTGCTCTGTAATCTTCATGATTCAGGTCTTTCTAGCTCACCTCTCCACCATCCCTGGGGCGTGGCCCTTGTCCTCACGTCCAAGTTGGCTCGTCTGGCCATCATATCCGTATTCTAGAGAGCAGTGTAGTGTAAAGGGAAGAAAGAGGTGAAGTATGAGTGTTACTGTGTCCGTATCAGCCAGGTGTGATCAGAAAAGCAGGTCTACTAAGAGTGAAGTAGAAGAAGGGATTTATTTTAGGGACTTGACCTTCCCTAAAGGGCATGGGTTAAACTGTTTATGTTCTGCTATGTTGGTTCTGTATATGGTGCTGGGCCTGAAGATAGCACGGCAGGCCATTTAAAAGGAAAGATGGACGTGTTCATGGTCAGTTTTATGTGTCATCTTGGCTAGTCTGTCATCCCCAGTCATTCGGTCAGTTGCTGTGAGGGTATTTTGTAGATGTGACTGAAGTCTGTAATCAGTTTACCTTAAGTACGGAAGATTATCCTTGATAACCTGAGTAGGCCTGATTCAGTAGTAGGCAGAACCGAGGCTTCCCAGAAGAAGAAATTTCACCTTTGGATAGCAGCTTCTCCTCGTGCCTGAGAGGTCCAGCCTGCCGTTCCTGATGGCCTGCCTAACAGACGTTGGTCTTGCCTAGCTAGCTTTCAGTGTAAGCCAATTCCTTGCAGTGATTCTCTTCATTTGTATCTCCTACTGGTTCTGTTTCTCTGGCAGAACCCTGACAGACACAGATCTGGTGTGAGAGAAACAAGGATGCCCTGGAACCCACGAGGACGAAGTAGAACCTACATTCATCTCTAACTGCCTCCAAATCTCCAACTCTGATGAGGCTGGTGAAAAGCTGGCCCCCTTTGTCATGGAGCTAACGCACCTTGTCCAGAAGCTGGATAAGCAGCAGGATCCAGCAGGAACTGCGGCAGACCCAGCTGCTATGTCATGCTGACAGGATGAGCCAGCAGATCTGAGACAAGGTGCATGAGCTGCAAGGGCACCTGACTTTACTGTGACCTTCCTAGTGTAAACATGGCTGCCGCTTCACTTCTGCCTTCCTAACCTTGCGCGAATTTCTCCCGTGCCCCATCCTAGCCCAGGACGATACAGAGGAGAGGAGTCTGGGAAACACTGTTCCAGTTTAGTTAGGTTGACACAGCACAAAACCACCACTGCCAGGTATCTTGGGGGAGGTTTCTTGGAAGCTTCCATATGCCACTTTATTTTATAGCTTACTGTCTAGGACATACAGAACATATCTGGCTGTATTTCTAAAAATCAGAGGTTCTCTGGGCTTCCCTGGTGGCGCAGTGGTTGAGAGTCCGCCTGCCGATGCAGGGGACACGGGTTCGTGCTCCGGTCCGCGAAGATCCCACATGCCGTGGAGCGGCTGGGCCCGTGAGCCATGGCCGCTGAGCCTGCGCGTCCGGAGCCTATGCTCTGCAACAGGAAAGGCCACAACAGTGAGAGGCCCGCGTACCGCAAAAAAAAAAAAAAAAAATCAGAGGTGCTCTTCTTTTGAAAGGGAGGATGACATTGGTAACAAAACCTTCCACCAGAGGACTACTCTTTACAGGTTCCTACCTTCTAGAGCCTAATTTTTAGGAGGGGAAATAAGATATTGTACGAACCTTTGTTGAGCTTTGTAAATAGAAATGCTTTTCCTTCATAGTCCCTTGGAAAACTTCTTGGAGTGTTTTCATGTTTAACAAACTTTTCATGTATCAAAGTATTATCCCCAGGACAGCAGTGAACCACTATAAGCGGGTGATTCTTTACCCTAGGTGTCAGGGTGTATCTTATATAGATTAGCAGCAGGACTTTTTAAAAGCCTTTTGAGGGGATGTTGTCTTTCCCTGGAAGAAGAAAATGCAGGGTCAGTGACCAGGAGCCTCCCGTATATATGGAATGCCTTCAGGGATCTGCTTTAGTGTAATGCAGAGGAAACTCACCTCTATTGTAGATTTACATAGCTCAAATAGACTTTATTTAAATGCCTCTTTGTCTGTACAAATTCAACCAATCCAATTCCAGTTCATATTTGTGCAGTAATAATACCATACGATGTCGTTTGAGCTTTACCACAAGCCAGGCACTGGTCTAAGCAACTTAAGTAGATTATCACATTAAAATTTCACAAGAAGCCCATGAAATACTTACTATCACTATGATTCATCTTTTACAGATTAGGAACTGAAGCACAAACAGGTAAAGTAAATTCAACAAGATCATATAAACAGCCGGGATGAACTCAGGACATGGGACCTCCGGAGCCCTTCTCTTGCATTTCCCTGCTTCACTCCTGGATCCTGACTCATTACAGAAATAATACATCCAGTACCCTTTCTGCTCGAAGGCAGGAAAGTGAATGCAGGAAAACGTGTTTTAACAATGACGACTTAAAGCAAGAGTTTCCACTTAGCCCACAGGTAACTGCGAAGTTAAATTAATTACCCTATTTTAGGATCATTCTGATTAAATACAGTTAAATAAATAATAACCTCTGACTATATTGGGATCATCTCTAAAGGAAATACCCTGAGACTGGAAGGTGGAAGACAGGGAAAAAGAGGCAGGGCTGGGGGGGCCTAGCACCCCGACATCAGACCTGCAGGAGTGCCCTTTGATGGGGTCCAGGCTTCCCTCTACACCTAGTGCACAGAGCCCTCCTGGCTCAGTTCTGTGAGGGCAGATGCTGTTTGATGCTCCTCTGCAGCATCCAGGGGTTCTTCAGGGGCTTTGCACAACCCAGGGGCTCAAGAACTGTTTTGGGAAGGAGTACTTGAAGGAAGGGGCTTGGGAGCCATGTATTAGGTTAGGATCTTCTAGGCTGATGCAGTCTGCTCCATTATATGCTGAAGGTAAGACTCAGCGGCAGATGTTGTTTTCTCCTGTGTCACCAGTAGCCACTGGAGCCAGAAACCCGTATGTGACACCATAACTAGCCTGTTGTTGTTTTTTTTTGGTGGGGGGGGCGGGTCAGTGTGGGATTTGATAAAGAGACCACCCAGAGGTGTGTATTCTGCTGACAGCAGCCCTGAGACCCCCGGTAAGCCTGCAATCCACAGAGGCAGGGGATGTGATTCTTCATTGCCCTTGAAGTCACTTCCAACCTGTTTTGACCATGTGACTGACAGACAAAAACCCAAACAGGTTGAGTATTGCAGAAAATATGAAATGAGCCTGAAGCCGGTAAATCCATGGAGGATAATTTTTTTTTTCCCTACATCTGATAACAAAAGGTCGCCAGCATGACAAACCGCCTGCCTGCAATTCACCTATCTCAAAGTTCTCTTGGCTCTCTTTCTCTGTCTCTCTTTTTTTAACCTTGGACATGGAATGTGTGAAAGACAGACTGAACAGTATCAATAAAAATCCCGAAGGCTAGAGACGTTTCTGCCATTCACAGAATTTATGAAAAGCCCTCTGTCTGTGGAAGGCTTTCCCAGCTCGAAAGCCTCAGCGTGGCTGGCGAGTTCCCTGCAGCAGCTGGAAGCGGAGCTATAAATAGAGCTAGGCTGGAAGCGCCCTCCGCAGCGGGAGTGGGCGGGAGATCCCCGGCTCTTCCCTCCCCATCAGCCCGCGGCGCGAGCTCTCTGCCGGGGAAGCCTGCGCTGCGGGCTGACGGCGTTAACCCTCCCGACGCCGGGCAACTCCGGGAGGCAGCGGGAGGACGTGATGGCGAACGGACTGGAAAGGGAAATGAAGACACGCTTCTCACCTAGTACTGGCAAACCACAGTCTGGGATTTCTCTCCCTCCCTCTCTTTCCCCCCAAGCTCTGGTTAACCCTTGAAATTCGGCCTTGAAATACACAGAGGGAATTTGTTACATGACTTAAAAAAAAAAAAATTGAGCGGCTGAAATCCAAATCTTTAAAACCATTCCCAATTTGGTTTGCGGAATAATGTTGGTTGTCATATTTCGCCGTAGGGTTCCCTCGCCCGTGCTGCTTCTGGACAGTTACTTTCCTCGGGAGGGAACTGTCAAACGGTGTGTGTGTGTGTGTCTGTGGCCGTGTGTGTTATTTTCGGCTGATGCACACCCCTCGGTACCCTCGAGGTCGGCAATACCCTGAGCCTTCTCGGCCCCCGCCTTCCGGGCTGGTCGCTGCCAGCCAAGGACTGGAAAAGGAGGGAGTCCCCAGTCCCGGCAGGGCATCCTGCTAACAGGTTCAGATTTCCGCAGGGTCGGTGCTGAAGCAGGGACGGGCAAGGGGCAGCTGGGCTCCAGGAAGGTGCACTCGGAAGAGCCACCAGTGGGCGACAGGGACCCGGCCCGGCCCCCGCGCGCCCGGTCTCCCCCGGCGGGTGCTCGGAGCCCTGGAGAGGAGGCGCAGGCAGGGGACGCGGTGCGCTCCCCGGCGGCGAACTGTCACGGAATTCGACACCCGGAAAGGCAGCTGGTCCCTGGCCAGCACTCCTGATCCTTCTCAAATGGAAACACTTTCTTCCGATGAACCTGCCGGAATTCTCAGTGGCATCTCACCTCGGCCTTGCCTCCTGGCGCACTTAACATAAGCCGCATTTATCACTTTGAGACAAGGAAGGTTCCAAATGGAGCGGGGCTCTCGGTTGCAGAACAAGGTATGCTGGAGACTAAGGTGACATTGACTTGGGGGGGGGGGGGGGGGGGGGAGGGGCACATATTTAACCGGGACCATCCTCCCCCAGGCAAGACGGCGAGATGAAGTTTGCCTTGGGCTTCCCCTCTTCCTGCCCCTCTCCAGGCCTTTCTGCTTCACCTTTTCCCTGCCCCCACTCACGCCTTATAAAGGAAAATTCCCCTGAGTGGGTGGCTGGTGGAGAGACTCCCTTATGTTCTTATTTTCAGCATTTTCATGTTCAACACTAGACACAGGTGCCACAGTGCGACCTGAAATTTCCCATCTCTGCTCCTCTTCCACCTTCCCTCCTTTCTCTCTTGCCTGAGTTCCCTGCTATATCCTCTCTCCTGATGCAGCCTACTTTTATTTCTTTGCCCTTCCCCTTTCTAAGTTCCCTTTTCCCTCTTTGCAAATATGAACCAAGATGCAGGGAGGGAGGGGGGAGTGTTGTGACTCCGTGTGTAATGTAGGCCTGGGGTTATAGGGGGTATGGACTGATGGTCTATGAAGGATCTATTCAGCAAGCATTGTTGAGCACTGACTCTGTCTGACCACATTACTATTCATGTGTACGATGACCGGATTCTCATTTTCTCGAGAATAAACTGCTCCCCAGCTTTTCCCTGGGCACCTCTCTGCTTTCCTCTAGGCTGCAGGAATGGGCATCTGTAGGACATGCGGAAGAGGAGGAAGCTCCTTAGGTACAAGCTAGTTGGGTGCCTCTGTGCTCTCACGCTATGGAGTAGTACTAACTATAATCACACATTAATCATGATAACCATTTATCGAGCACTTGCTATGTTTGTGGTATTGTTCTAAGAACTTTACAAGTATTCACTCATTTAAACCTCATAACAACCCCATGAAGTAAGGACAACTGTTATCTCTTTCTTACACAGGGGACAACTCAGGAACAGAAGATTTAAATAATTTGTTCATGATCACACAGCTATTAAGTGGGGGAGCTGCCATTGAAACTCAGAACATCTGACTCTGGACCACAACTCTTAATCTATTACATAGCTCTGTCATCACATATTCATCCACCTATTCTGAGATGGAGGAGCGAACAAGGCAACCAGGATCCTTGGAGCTTGTATTTAAGTTGAGGGAAATAGACAATATATTCAGCAAACAGATTGGATAATTCAGGTAGTGGTAGATGCCACAAAGAAAAGAGAACAGAGTAGTGTAATAGGGAGTGGCGACCTTCACATGGAGTGTGGAGAGGGACATTCTCTTTGTGGTAGGAACATTCAGGCTGAGACCTTAAAGCTCTGAGGAGAGGAAATACAAATAGCCTGTGAACATATATAGTTATTACCTTTAGTACTTACGGGAATGCGAATCGAAGTCACATTGGGTATCCCTTTACACCCATTTAGTTGGCCCCATATTAAAAAGTTTGACAATATCAAGTGATTGAAGAGGATGTGGATCTGGATCCACAGGACCTTCCAACATTGCTGGCAGGAGTATAAACTGGCACAGTGAGTTTGGGAAACGGTTGGCATTGTATCCTAATTTGAACATTTGTACACCTGTGATCCAGCCGTTTCACTCACTTCTAGATTTATATCTATTAGAATCTCTTGTATATGTTCAACAGGAGACATGTGTGTGAACCTTTGTAACAGTCTGGTTCCCAGTAATGAAACCCTGGAAAGAACTTCAATGCCCATCACCAAGGAATAGATGAATAGTGTAATATTGTTATATAGAGGAATATCATACAGCAATCAAAAATGAATAAAATAAGTGACACGTAACAATATGACTGGTTATAAGCTATATAATATTAAATGAAAATTGGCCGAAAGATTACATATAGCATTACATATAACATGACAATCTTTTATAATATTGAAAATTACTATAATAAAAACCCCTACTACTTAGGAATATATGTAGATACAATAACATTATATAAATAGGAAAGCAAGAGAATGAGAACCTGAGATTTGTACTTGTGGTTACCTTAGATGGGGAGAAGCAGGGCGACCATGTGGTTTGTTAGAGGTGAGTCAGTGGCAGGGTCTCAGCTGAGTTTTGGCTGGTAGGGCCAGGTGTGCTTATTACATTGTTAAAAATAACTCGTAAATAATGAAATAGGACAGGCCATGCATGGACTAATGGGAGTAAATGATGAACTGAATATTAAGACTAATCCTGTTTTATGTACTGTGGTCCAGGGTGGAAGGTAGGAAAGAGCAGAAGGTAGACACCTCAGTCTGGGAAGGGGAGCTTGGTGTTCTTCAGGAAGAGGAAGGCTGCCAGAGTAAACATGGGCCAGCAGATCAGAGAGGTAATCTGGGACCAGAACATGCAGAGCCTTGTAGGTCAAAGTAAAGATTGAAGGGTTTTAATCAAGGAAGTGAAATAAAATTGAATTTGAGGTTTTAAAAGGCTACTCTGGGGCTATGTGGAGAATAGACAATACGGGAGGGGCACTTGGGAGGCCACTGCAACAGGAGAGGAGAGAAGATGGTGGCAGGGGTGTAACTGTGTTTCTGCAGGTTATTTACTGTGTCGGGCACCAGCCTGGAGGTCAAGTGGAGGTCAAAATCTAGCCTGTGCTCCCTTGCCAGCAAATGTCCTGTCACAGGGCTTTGAAGGCCTGGAGGAGGGACATCTTTTTCAAATCTACATGAAGGGCTCTGTGTGCCAGCAGCAGCTCAGGGGTGATCAGGGCTGTGAGAATGGACTTGAAGAGAAGTAGATGGATTCGGGACATACTTTGAAGGTAGAATGAACAGGGCTTGTTGATGGATTTAGATTTGGGGGTTAGTAAGGGAAAGAGAGGAGTCAAAAGTGACACCTGGATTTTTTACTTGGCGGTGAGGATATTGATGCTGTTTACAGAGATGAGGAAGAGCAGAGAAGGGAAGAAAATCATATTTTAAATGTATTAATTTTGAAATGCTGTTAGACAGCCAAGTGTAGATGTCAGGTAGGGAGCTGATTTGAGTCTGAAGCTTGAAGGAGAATTTGGGGCAAGAGACTTAAATGTGGAAAGTATAAGCCTGTAGATGGTATAGTCCAAATTCCTCCACTTAAGTTGTCATTGTCAGATTGTGAATTCCTTGAGGGCAGAGAAAGTTTTTACTTTGTCTTTTTTAATCCCCAGAGGAGGGTAAAGTAGAGTAGGTTATCAGTACATATTGGTTGAATAGATGACAGAAGGGTGCATCAACAGTACAGATGTGGAGAAATAGAGGGGACGTGGAGGAAGTGTCCCAGGTGACTGGACCCTGCCAGTGTCTCAAAGTTGACACTGTGTCCTTTTCCTCCTGAGGCTGAAGCAAGTCTAATGGTGGTGGCACCCCATTAGGAGGATGTGACCTAGGGGCCTTGGGGCCATTGTCATGTGTGGTATCCAGAGCTATTCAGAGAAACCAAAAATGGCACGGACTAGAGAGTGAAAGCCAGAAGAGCCCTGCGGGTCGGAGAAACCAGATGAGGAAGCACTGAGCTACCACAGGCACTCAGCCAAGAACGCAGCAGACCTTGTGGAGGCAGGGACAGGTGAAATCAGCAAGAGGAGACAGGCCCCGGGGGCTGAACGAAAGGGTGCAAGGCAGTGGGTACACATGGAGCCACAGGTTCGGTTTAAAAGCCAGTGTATATTGCAGACATATTTGATAATCACCAGGTAACTGGCTTGGGACTGGCCACAACCTTCTCACCACCCCCAGGCCCACAGGACCTCAGGCTGTGCAGTCCTTTGGGGCATCTCATTTAGAAGATGGTTGCTGAATGTTTTTATTTCCATTATATAAAAAGTGTATTTTGCTTCTATTACCATTGTTAGAATCAAACCTTAGTTTGAAAGAAATGCCTCCATGCAGGACAACTGATGGACTAGATGGCAGAGAGTGTTTTTAATGGTCGATGATTCCACTGGGGGCATAAAGGGAGAATGGGTTATAATTCTTCCCTTGGTTTCTTTCAGGAAATGTAACGGACTACAGTCATTGGCTTTATTTTCCTAACTTTATAAGTTTTAGTTCCCTTTCTTTTTTGATTTTCCATTTATAACTCTTTGTAATAAATACAAATGAGAAATATAAAATATAAGTAATAAAAGTAAAAGATGGAAAAGAAGGAAAAAAAAAAAGAAAATGGTTGCTGAGGCCTTCCCATCCCAGATATCGCATCCCATCCCCCCGCTGGGCCTCCTAGGCAGTACTTCCCCCACAACACCCTCCAGTGCCAGGCTTGAGGGGCTGGCCCGGCATGACTACATTTGGGCCTGACAAGGTTCCCCCATGTCATCATATTCCATCACTCTGCTGACATCTAGTTCTCCAGCCACCACCCTCGCATGGCAGTTCACATCTCTTTACTTGTCCGTCTCCTTCCCTCAAATGGCACCCCTTGCCCCTGTTCACTGGTGTATCTCTGGTGCCAGCACAGTGACTGGCTTAGGGGGTGTCTGCAGGAATTGTGAAAGGAAGAGAGGGAGGTAGGAGGAAGAATTCCCCTTTTTGCTTGGCTCTCAGTTGATCAGGATGAGACCATCCCATTCTCACTAACGAGAGGCGCACGAGGGCCTCTCTTTCCTTGGACAGCTGGGTACAGTATTGCTTAAGAATGTAAGCTTTGGGATAAAATCGACCTGGAATTCAGTTTGGGCTCTACCTCATACGGCTTGGTGAGGTCACTTCACTCCTCTCACAGACTCAATTTTTTCATATGTCAAATATAGATAATAACAAAACCTCCCTTATGCTGTCATTGTGAATTTTAAATAAGACAATGATGTGAAGCTTCTAAGCACAGTGCCTGGCATAAAATAGGGACGCAGTAAAGTTTAGGTATTCTTATTTCCTAAGGCATTTGATTGTCAATGCCTCCTTTATTGACCAACTTCAAGGAATGCTTCTAATTCTGAGGATTTAGGCTCCTTATCCAGAGGCGCCTGTGCTCTGGCAGTGAGGTAGTAGCCATTTTTGGCAGATGGGGAACGATTCTTGGGCACATGGGCATTTGCTGTCTCATCTCTCACATTACGACACATAGTATTCCATTGCACATAATTCATGGCCAGCCAGGAGTCTGAATAACAGTGAGGACTCAGAATGTATTCATTCAACATACCACAAACAGTGACTGAATGTCTTACTATGTAAATGGAGGTGCAGTGATGACTAAGACACAGTCCCTGCTTTCAAGGAAATCACAGTCTAGTTAGGGGGGCAGACAAATACATACTGACAATTACAGTGTACACATTCAGAGGATCACTTCTGATCCAGATCCCTGTCCACAAGATCCCCTGCCCAGTGCTGGGAGGAATGATGTAAACGTAGTAATGTTACCGACCTGGGTCCTTGGACTCTTTAATCAACAGAAATTGATAAGAGGCCAGATGAGAAATTCACGCAAGGCTTTACTGAGGCTCCTGCTGCAGCAGGGGGGAGCAAAAACAAGTAAGAGGTGCCCTTGCTCGCTCCCCGAGGAGGGCAGCGAGGAGGGCAGGAGGGCGGGCAGGTTCCTTAAGTGGGGTGAGGGTTAGGGGCGGGTCCGTGGGTGGGGCTGGAGGAGTGGCTTAGGTGGTCGGCCCACTCCCTTGGTGGCGCTGTGTGCAGGGATCATGCACAGTACTCAGTTTTGCTCCTGGCACCTCAGAAATAGCGGTTGGTTTGTGGCCTTATTGTATCTTATTGTTCATAATTTGCTAGGACTGCACATGCCTGCAGTTATTTTTAATCCCTTATAGTTTCTTTGTATTCTATTGCAGGAGGAGACCTTTGTCCGGGAGCAAGCACCCTGACAAAGGATTCCAGGTCCCAGCCTATCTCAGTAATAGTGTTGGTCCCTTGTATTTGCACATGTATTTACAGGGTACAAGTCAGGTTCACTTTGAAATTTTTCATTTGATTTTCATGACAACTTTATGAGGTAGGTAGAGATTACTACTCATTTTATGAATGAAATCTAAGACTCCATTGAGCAGATGCATTTACATGAGACAAGCTGTCTTAGGCCATGATCTATCCTTCCAGCCTCTCCTATTCTCCCCGTGCAGGGGTCTGTCCAGCTCACCACCCTTGTGGACTGGGGTTTAGTTTTGATTCTGAGTTTATCCCGTTGGAATTGATGGCCAAGTTTAGCTTCCATGTTGGGACCTTTGCTCTCGGTAGACTTAAACTGACACCTGATCCCATTTGGTCAACTTGGTGCAACCCTTCTGATATCCAGGAGTCCGTCTTGGTACTGGCCACTGGCCATTAGGCAAAGCCCAGGTGAGGGTCATGACAGCTTCCCTGAGAAAGGGGATAGATGCTAGGTTGATTATGCTTGTGCAACTGGGAAGTGAAGGAAGTGGCAGAAGAATCTTTTCATTCCCCAGTTTCACGATGCTGGTTTAGTCACTTGTATTCCTGGATGTTTCTCCTAAAAAGGGAAAGTATATAGGGATCACTCGAACCTCCTTACGAATGGAATGACTTATTTACACTTTCTCAGAGATGTTTTAACTGAAGTTGGTCATTTATGAAATACTTATAAGTCTACAGAATACATCGTTGATTAAAATCTGCTTATGGTTATTTACCAAAATAATGTTTATATATTTAAATTTAATGAGAGAAAGTAAATCTCACAGACTTGTCCTGTGATTATAACATGGGGAGGTGAGTTTTTTGTTGAGAAAATGCGTTTTTCAAATCTACTGTACTTTTCACCTTTGTGAAAGATGTTATTAGGTATTTTTGCTGCCCACAGAATGTCTGGGTGGGGCAGCTCAAACACCTCCTGCCAGGCCTGCAGTGCAGCAAGAGGATGATTTTGACTGTATAGTGGTTCAGAAATACTGAAGGAGCAATCTCCTTCCCCAGATTTTTAACCTTACCACAATAAATTTGATTAGATTATTTTATGCAGGGGGAAAATTGGTTAACTGGTCATTTTCTTTGAATTTAAATATGAAGTTTGTGAAACACATGAGAAATAAAAGTCATAATTTATCAAAGGTGAGTTTTCAAAAGGGCTTTTAAAATTCCATATGCTTCAGTGGATTGGGGATCAAGTTATATGTTAATTGATTGGTAAAGAAATACTACTAGAATTTTTGTTCTGTATTCAGGGAGACTGGTCTGAATTCGTAGAAGGTCTGAATTACAGTGTGTCTGAGTGCTTTAAGAAATATCTTTGTTTTACTTTCAGCTCATGCAGTAATAGTACCAACAGAGTGTTTTGGATGAGAGCCTCTTCTTTCATGTATGGATAAAATTCATACGCAGTTATTAAAATCAGTTGAATATAAACAGGTAAGTCCTTCAACAAATCTGGTTTTGTTTTAAAGTGGTTAACATTTTAGGGTATTAATTTGCTTGGCAGAACTCGTCATTGTTCCTAGGTAACTTCAGCTCAAGCTGGTTCAAAAAAAACTACTTTCTAAATTACTGAAACCTGAATGATTTTTACTATAAATTCAAATTGAAAACCAAGCATCCAGTCCCAGATAAAGCTTGATTTTCTGCTTAACTTTAAGGGAAAGATTTTTTTTTTTCCTTTCAGGTTGGAGCAAAAATTACCACCTGAATTGTACTGACAGCTGTGATGTGTTCTGGAAGAGATGGGCCCTGCCAACTTCAAACAGCTGTGCTCAGCACGCCCCTCATTCCAGGCTCCAGCCTCTATTGTTAATATAACAATTTTTTATACAGCCTCTCAGATAAATGGCTGGCAAAAACTATGCCAAAAATGATGATTATCATGGTTATGTCCGAAGATGCTGGCTGCCCTTGGTCAAGGCATCTCTGGCCAATTAGCATTGAATCTTCCTGCTGTGCTTTTTATACTTTTACAGCAAAACAGAAACCTGATCTTGCCTCACGTGGAAGGGTAGAGATAGATGGAGATGAGAGCACGGCAGGCCAGATCAGTGCTTCTCAAATTCATGTTTTTCAAAACACAGATTTCTAGGCCCTAATCCCAGATATTCTGACTCTGTTAGAATTTCCCCAGATTTCCATTTCTAACAAGCTCTCTCAGGTGATGCTGATACTGCAGGTCCATGGACCACACTCAGGCAGCTCTGGCCTAGGTGATTAATTCTGAGGAAACTTAGGTATTAACAGTGGGAATGCATTTCAGAAACGAAGCTCACTAGAACATGACCTGTCCTGCAGAGGGAGGGAAGGCAATTCTAGGGTGACCAACTGTCCAGTTAGACTCAGAGTGTCCTGGTTTTAGCACTGAGTCTTGTGTCCCAGGAAACTATTCAGTCCCAGGCAAACTAGAAGACTGGTCATTCTACAAGGCAGACTGGCTTATCATGGCAGCTTTATTGTGCTTTGAAGAGATGGGCGTTTGGCTTAAATTTTAAACCCAAGAAAGAACACTGAGCATGCTGTGAAATGACACGTAATCACGTGTAACTGAGGACTGCCAGTTAGAATCTTCAGCTTTTCTAAATCTCTTTTCTCACAAGTTGTGCTGGATTGGAGGTTCCCAAACTTGTGTGCACACTGGAATCATCCAGGGAGCTTAAAAAAAAAAGAAGGGGACGCCCGTGTTCTCCCCTCTCCGGCATCGTGAATTAATTGGTTTAAGGTGTGCACTGTGCCCTGCTAGTTTTAAAAGGCCCTCAGATGATTCCAATCTGCAGATCAATCTGGGAATCAGCCTGGTAGAGAGTCTCCAAAGATGGCCGCCAGCAACGCCTCCTTCTTTCTACACATATGCCGTTTGCCATGAGGTAGGTCTGTTTTCTGCCTGTTGAGTCATCCTACCTTTGTGACTTGCTTTGAACAATGAAATTTAATGACTTTGAATTCTGGGGCTTGTGGCCTGGTAGCTTTTGTTTCTTCCCTCTTGGAAGCCAGCCTCCTTGTGAGAGGTCTGACTATTCTGAATCCACAGTGCTGTGAGGAAACCCCGGCTCGCCTTGGGGAGAGCAAGCCGCTGTGTGAAGGAGGGGCTGGGCACGTATATGTGAGTGAAGCTTTCTTAGACCTTGTAGCCCGACCCAGTAACAACTGAATTTGACCAAGTGAGTGACCCCGGTTGGCGTCACCAGGATCAGAACCGTGCAGACAAGCCCCCCTCATCTTTGCCTTAAGCAATTTCATTTTGGGTGGTTGGTTTTGGAACGATATACAGCTGAAACACAAGTGTATTCCTTGCGCTTATTGGTAATAATAATGCAAAGGGGGCATTTTGAAAGACCCCTTATGAATGAGGAATGATTTATTTGCCATCCAGATCAAAGTGCAATGCAAACGCAAACCGTATTGCTGAATACTTGAAGGGGAAATTATAATTATATTCATAAAATTATTAGTGATGGTGACAAAGAGATTTCACTGTTGTTAACATAGTAGCCTCAACTATGCCTTCTGTTGTGTCCTCTAGAAAGCTGAGCCCAAGGCAATGCTCAGAGTGCTATCAGCTGATTTGGGCTGTGCAACTCGGAGAGTAAGGGTGACAAGGCAAGAGAGAGAGTGATGTGATTCAGTGTAATGCCGTGTATTGCCACACTAGCTACTGCTTACCAAGGAGCTGTGCTGAGACACACTGTGTCACTCTATACTGTCTTACTTGACATTTGGGGCTTCCCTGGAGGTGTTGCAGAAAAGAACGATACCTTGGTGTAGTGAATGGAAGAGGAAAAGAAAGAGGAACTTGGCTTCCCAGTTTCCTCTCATTTCGTTTCTCACTGATGCAGTTTTACTTCATGGGAAGCTAACTCTCACTACTCCTGTGTCTCCGTGGCTGCTCAGGAACCTGGGCACCATGCTACACAGTACATTATTTTCCCCAAGTCCGAAAGTAGAGGCGCTGTACCTGTGTGTGGATCAGGTGCTCACCAAGAGAGACAGACATGAGGAGAGGTTGAGGGAATCTGAGAAGGTGCATAATGTTTTTGTGTGGGTTCTGTTTGTTTGCTTGTTTTTACTAAAACATAGTATGAGGTATCTGACTTTGATACTGTTTTTGCAAATTACGTTCTGAGGCTGAGATGATCCGTTAGCCTAGATTGCCATCCTGCTTTTACCCATATGCTCAGTATCAATTCCAACATAAATGCAATATTAGTCCTGACTTGTCTTTTCCCTTCCAATAATCTTACGAAATGCAACCATCTCCCTGGACATTTGCAAAAGTCAAATCCAAGGATTTGGTTTTTATTTTACTGTTTTGCACAGCCCAGTCTTTTCTTGATAGAATGGAGTGTGCGTGCCTTCTAGCCTTGAGAGAAGCAGGACACCAATGAGCTATCACTTCTGAACATCCATCTTTTTGACAAGCTGTTAAGTCTTTTCCTAGTCAGGTCCTTTTCGAAATGGGGAAAGAGATAAAGAGCAAAAACATGCCATGTTTAGTTATTTCATGAGGCTAGGGAGTTCCTAAACATCAGGGGCTTTATATGACTGATGGTATTATATTTTGTAACCCAGTCCCACTCTAGTTGTAGGAACCATTATGTAGGGAATCAAAAGTCTATTTAACACATTGAAGGGTTTAGTGTTCAGTGTATGATTTGGGGGGAGAAAATTGTTTCCACTAGTTTCTCATCAATTTGCTGATGAGATTTTCTTTTTAATTGTCTCACGTATATAAGCAGTGAAGGTCATCTAACTTCAAAAAGGCAGAAAGAATCTCGTCTGTAATTAAAAGTCTGTGGAGTTAATCTGGCCATTGCTTTTCCTGTGGACAGGTAACAACCTCCCCTCCTATTTCCCATGACTGAGGTGATTGACTGATGATATCTGGTCATCAATTTTTCTTTCCTACTTGGGGCACAGAGAGGTAGACTTCCTTTCATTTTTATAGAAATATTCCTGAGAAATAAACATGGGAAGACTCATATGCCATAGATCGAGATATAAAAATTGTAAAACACCTCATGCCTTTGTTCCCTCCCCATGTTGCAAAGTCCTAAGCCTGTGGTATCATTGTTTTCCAGTGACAATTCTTAGGTTCACCTTATTCTCAAATGAAGGAGATTTGGCATGCAGTTAATGTCCAGCAGGTCCCTGCTTCCTGCGAGGATGGATTTTCTAAATGTTCCCCTGAACAGGTGGTAGATCTTTGGACCTAATTGTTGCTCTTGAATGGAAGGTATACTCTGTATGCAGAGGTACAGACGTGTTGTTTTATTTAAGACTCTTGAGTAAATGAAAGAAGTCCAATTCAAGCTGGCTCAAAAAAACAAAGGAAATTCATTGGCTTATGTAAGACACAGGGTACAGGTGGGACCAACTGTATCCATGATTCAAACAATGATATCATAAAAAACTCTTTCTTTCTCTCTCTCATTTTATCTCTAACTCTTGATTCTTTTTTTTTTTTTTTTTTTTTTTTTGTCTACAATGGCGTTGTTCTCAGGCACTCTTTTCTCTAGTGGCTCCATGCCAGGCACCAACAGATCTAAGCTTTACCTCTAAAGCTTAGCTTTGTTTAAAAACATTCTAGGATTGAGTTTAAAAGGACAAGCTATGTTCAGATTTGGGAGGAATCTGAGAACAGAAGAGAGGTGATTCCCCAGGGGAAATTCAAGATGCTGTACCAGAAAAATGGAAAAGGATGCCAATCTGGCAAAAACAACAAATACCCATTTCTTTGGGAAAGGGGCCCACTACCTCCTAGCTAAGAGACTTTAGCTTTGAGAGCTCATATGCCTTGTTTTGTCAGTTATCTGAAAATGGACTCAAGTTTCAGGAGTAGACTCACATTGACTGAGCCCAGAGAGACTGATATATAAACCAAATGCCAATTTATTAGTTCACAGCCAGGACATGAAAACAACCTTAAATGCCAATGTTGACAGAGCAGTCCATTTTCTTCCCTGTAGGAAAACCACAAGGAAAGCCAATCATAAGAAATCTGCTAAATAAGGATGGATCAGAGCAAGAGGAGATAGTGTAATTGCCCACAGTAGGATCTGCCCTGGGAACCAGAGAACAGGGGTTCCCAGGGACAGAGCAGCATTGTTCCTGGATGGTATATGGAGAGTCTCTATGAAATTTTGATGCTTTGGACTTTGCTTTTGGCCTGTATTTATCAAAGTGTATCCCCAACCAACTCATTAGAACTACCAGGGAGCTTGATAACATGCAGGTTTCTGGTCTCACCCAGACCTGCTTAATTGGAATTGATGAAATGAATCTACATTTCAACAACCTTCTGGTTTTGTCTCTGTAGCATGAGAGTTTCTCCTCTTAGCTAATCAAACCCTCTTCACACAGTCTTTATTCTAACAGGATATAAATGATCAGCTTTCTGCTTAATAAATTATTAAAAATTTTCCTTTTGACTACCCATCATAGTGCTCAATTTAAGGTATTTTTAGGTTCACTTTAATTATAAAATTCTGATTAGAAAGTAATAATGTAGAATGTTGGGAAAGAGTGGAAATATATAATGCATTTAGTAAAATCATCTGTACTTTGATTACCATTTCTTGTCTTTCTTTTTTTGTGTGTGGGTGTCCATATCCTATTCCTCCCAAACAGAGGTCTGCGTATATTGTATATAGCATTTGATTCCTGCTTTATTTACTGCAATTTAATTTGAGAGCATCTTCATATTGTTACTCTTTGCTTACATGATATTAATGGCTATTCTCAAAATTTTCATTTGTCTATTTTATAGACGGAATTTTATTCCTACAGATCCTTAATCGTATATATTATGTGTAGTTTTTCCAAATGTGGAAGAATGAGGTGTTGTGTGTTTTACTTTAAAATTAAACAGATAGAATCACATTTATTTTACAAACAAAAGGTAACTTTTTGTAGGAGGGAGATTTTTAGATACGCTGTTAATAAGGGAATATTATAACAAAGTCACAGAGGTCATGGTTGATGGTTAATTGTCACAAGTTTGTTAAGTACATTTAACCTCCTGTTACTGAAGTTGTTTATACGTTTAATCGAGAAAAGACTTTTACATGAACTATTCTAATGAAAGTATTTTCTCTAACAAATATACTTAGCTTCAGAGCCAGTTGTCCTTGGAAGACATTAAATACATCTCTGAACATTACATGCAAGATTTTGCCTCTTTTAGAAGACAGATTTTTGCAGAAACTCAACTTTAGCTTTTAAGATAGAGAAGAAATATGGATTTAAGAGAAAATTTATGACCACATAAAAATTTTATGGCTATATGTGGTCTGCAGTCGTAGCAGACTCTACTGATTCACTGTTCCAGGTCAGCTTAACCCTGCCTGCACCCTGGGCCTCAGATTTGCAGCCACTGTTTATTCACACTATTTCCATGGGTGAAAGCTCAGGCTGCTGTCACTTCTTCTGTCACACATTCCAGGGTCCCCACATATAGCACAAACTGACAAGGAGAGACTTCAGAGGCTCTGCCTTCCCACATGCTGCTGGAGGGGCTGGTGAAAATCCAGAGTGGTGGAGGGGTGGGATTTAATGCATAACGAAATGGGCTTTAACCAAAGAAAGAGAGGAGAGAAAAAGCCTGTGGATAAACCGTTTGCCTTTCTTCTCCTACCTGCAGACTATTCTAAGATGCAGGAGTCAATGGCCCCCATGTGGAGATGACGTGGAGGCTTGCACAGCCAACTTTGTCCATGGTGGAGCCCCGTTACATGCTCCCTCGTGTTTGCTCTCCTTATTTTCCTGCCTGACTCTGCTTCCCCAAGATTACATCTCACTGCCACCACCCGCACCAGGAAAATTTGCGTGCAGTCTATTGTCTCTCAGCTTTTTATGGTAATGCATAAACTAGTAATTTCCTCCTTGAAAGCACTTGTGCCAACACCTTCTCTCCAGTTTTTAAATTAAATACTGTTGAAGATGAAAAACCTTCAACTATAGATTTCCAAGACTTTTAAACCATTTAGTAGGATTCATGGCAATATTATTTTTGTTCATAAGATTCTGAGGCCAGCCTTATTTTCCTTTCCTCTAAATCTTATGGGTCTCCACACTAGCCACATATATCACCAGCAGTATAATTTTCCAGTTACAGAATGAAAATCTCAAAATCATTGCAGATTGTTCTGGAATGCCAGAACCTGATTTCCCAGCCCTGCCTCTAGAGGTCTTAAATTGCCTCCTGGCTCAACCCTGAGTGACCTTCTCCAGTATCCACCATTGTGGATGCCAATCCTATCACAGTTGTCATTCCCTCATCAGTTCATCTCAGCTAAAGGTCAGAGGCGTAGCAAAGGGAGTGCGAGTGATCATGGGTGTGCTACAAGATACCAGTAAGAGAAAGTTGTGTTATAATTTTCCACTAAATAACTAGATTTATTGAGTTTGATTTATTGAGAATATGAGCACATCCTACTTTACCATTTATTCATTTCTGAGTGAATTCTGAGGAGGCAACTCAAACATTTTAATTATACCCAGATGCCTTTTATTTTCACCGTGTCACTGCTAAATTTAGTAGAACAGTGATTGGACTGGGCTCCCCTTCCTTAATAGTGTGCATATCTACTCTTTTCTCTATCCCTGCCGTCCTCTGATAGTTTAAACTGTTATTAATTATCTCAACCTCGGACTCTAGCAATTACCTCCTGACTGGTCTTCCTACCAGTCTCGCCAGCTTCCCGTCTCTGGGGCGTAATGCCACCACGACCTCCTTTGGAATGAAATCTGGTTGTGCAGGCTTCTGTTTCAACCTTTCAAATGTTCCCTTGGCTTCTGTCCTAACTCACCAGCATGGGATACAAGGCCTCTCATGGGTTCACTTCTGCTACTCTCTAGCCTTCTCTTTCACTGCTCAACTAGCATGATTTTCATGTTTCAGCTGCACTTCATTACTTATTATTTACCCAATGAGCTCTGTCTTTACCTATGCTTTATCTTTCTTGTCTTCCTCTATTTGGTAATGCCCACTCTTCCTTCAAGAGCTAGTCTTAGAAAATTTCCTCAGAGGAGATGCTAGGCTGCTTCTTAAAGGGGCCAGTTAGCAAGTTAACTGAGAGCTAACTTGATGAAGTTCCCAACAAACCAGGAACTAACACTTGTTTCTGCAGGTCCCAAAACTTGTATTTTGCCAGTGTCCTCAGCAATTAACAGTATCCTCAGAACTGGTGCAGACTAATCAAACTCATGGAGATGAAGCTTTCAGCCCTGGTGATAATTCGTCAGGTTTGTTTGTCGATTATAACTACAGAGGGTTGTGATGCTATAATATGTGTCCCTGAGTGAGACGGACCAGGGTTCGTGGTCACTAGCGTGTGACGTAGGGCAGGGTACCAGACCTCTCTAAACGTCCATGTGTTTACATGTAGGATTGTGGGAATGATACTTTTTATTTCTGAGGAGTGTGAGGAATTAATGCCTTTTTCTAAATTCCAGTCATTCATACGGAAATTATTGAGATTTTCCAAGTTGAAAGAGTCAGTCAAGGGTAGATCCAGGTTTGGAACTCAAGCAGTTTGGCTCCAAAGTCCATGTGCATCACCACCTGTCCTAAATAGTTTTCTTAAATTAACTACTTTTTTAAACATTAACTTCACGCAAGGTAATGATTTTTTTTTAAAATCATAAGGTTTGATGCACTAGCTGTATACATGTATTATAATGTGTGTGTATTATACATATTACATATGTAAAGATAATTGGTCGCAAACAATAGTATCAACTCTAGCTAGTTTAAACAGGAAAACTTTTATTAAAGGATGTTAGATAGCTCCCAGAATTTCTGGAAGGCCCAGAGAATCAGCCTTGGGAATAATCATCTAGGAATACTGGCGTGAAGAAGCACACAGCCAGGAGACATATGCCAAACCACTGAGAAACACCATTTAACAGAAACAACATTGCTCCATGACAGCTACCCCAGAAGGACATTCACCACATTCAACCTTGTCAGGAAATCTGAACTTCCACTCTGGGCTGAAAAAATCACATTGTTCATTCCCACACTGACATTTTGTGAAGATGTGTCTGAAAAAATTTAGGTCACATGCTTGCACCAGGGCTGCAGGGGATTCCAGGGAATGCTGTTGAGTTCTCTGACCTCTATAGTAGAGAAAGGCAACTACCGGGAGACTGAAATAGGGGTTAAGTCAAAATACAGAGTCTGCCACACACATTAAAATAAAGTTCATTGGTATATCACCTGCAGTCTTCATAGATAGAAAGTATATGTGTTGAATTTGGAAAGAAAAATGAAGCAATGTTTCCATGGTGCTGGGTACACAAAGCTCTCAATAAGTGATGGTACAGGTGATGTTATTGCTGTTCTTCTCTTTGAGCTCCAGCATCTTCTCAGGGCAGCACCAGAAGGACACTGTCAGATTCTCCTTCTTATATTCATACTCATAAGTGATAGCATGTGAGGTAGAATGATGTAGTGGTGAAGCACATGGACTTTGGAGCCCAAGTGCTTGGGTTCCAATCCTGGATCTCCAATTGGCTGGCTCTTTGAACTTGGACAGTTTAATTAACTTCTCTGTGCCTCTGGTTCACTCATTGGTATCATGGAGGTAACTATTCATATCTCATATGGTAGCAACAAAGATGAATAAGTTAATATTTTCAAAGTATTTAAAACAGTACTTAAAAATAAGAGCTATATAAATGTTAGATAGATTACATGCTGCTAATAATGTCTATTTTCAGATAATTAGGACAGTTTTAATCCCCTGCCTGCAGTCTTATATGTAGCTGCACAGTGACCATTGTTTAGTCACAGTGATTTTTCTCTGGTCACTCATAAGTAGGAGGCAACTTCTGTTATAGTTTTAGATGCATTGGCTCTCCAATATACCTTTTTTTACATATGAAATCCAAGAGTGTTGTAATAACTTCTCTGCTCCCTTAGTCAGTGTCTCCTTTCTATTCTTTTGCACCTTGGGCAGCACTGATCTTACTGGAATATTCTCACCAGTGTCCCCCAGAGGATTGGCCTGAGGAGTACAGCAGCCTCTCTGCGGCAGACCCAAGGGTAAGCACGTGGGATGTCTTTAAACTGGCTTGATCACATTGGCCATCGTTCATTTTCAAAATGTCTTTACCTTTGAGTAACTTCTCATCTGCTTATTCTCTTGACACATTCACTCTCTCCCTGTAAATCTGCATTCCAGACTTTATCCTGATTGTTCAATTAGCACAGACTTCACTGCTGGCTCCTTGTTAGTATTACTGCTGTGATAATAACCTTTTTAGAACCTGGTTCAGTGTGGATTCAAAAGAGCCTTACCATTTACAGTCCCACAAGCCTGATAACACCCCAAGTCTAAAGTTTCTGTCTACCCTTATCTCCCCCTCTCCCCATTGCCACCGTCTCCTCCGTAAAAGATAGGCATATGTGTTAGCTGAACATCACATTTAAGACTCTTCACTCCTTATATTTGCCTTTGAGTTCCCTTGAGAGCAGGCCTGAAGGTCTGTTCAGCGTTGTGTTCCTATTTTCTGGCACAGTGCCTGACTCACAGTAGATGTTCAAAAACTTTTAAAAACGAGTAACTTGAATAGTACATACAGGTGAAGCTATTTCAGCATAAAAAGAAAACATTATTGAGTATTAACCTCAGTGATGGAAAATAAGCTACAATTAATACTTGCTTAAGCAAACAGTTACAAAATCAGACAAAATATAGTTCCTTCACTTTGTACAATATAATGTAGGGTTTCATCTGAATATATTCTGGTGGTAAGAGGAACTGTTTTTCTCTCAAGTTTCTCAGGATGGGATTCTAAGGATAATATCAACAACTTTCAGAATTTTGCCTGGGTTTTATTAGAACTTCTACTCACAGTCCATATTTTATTCTTTGAGGAAATATTGTCTATTTTAAAAAATTTCCTCAATGATTTTTTTTCTGTGGGGATCTAAGAAGAATTTTTATTGAGCTCTGATTGACATATAACATTATGTTGGTTTCAGGTGTACAACATAATAATTTGATATTTGTACATATTGTGAAATGATAACCACACTGTCCAGTTAACATCTGTTACCTCACAATGACGTTTTTCTTGTGATGAGAACTTTTGCTCTCTTAGCAACTTCCAAATATACAATACAGCATTATTAACTTTAGTCACCGTCCTATATGTTATATCCCATGACTTATTTTTTAGCTGCAAGTTTATACCTTTGACCACCTTCATCCATTTCACCCACCATATCCCCTGCCTCTCGAGAACCTGTTCTTGATTCTATGAATTTGGTTTTTTGTTTGTTTTTAATTTTGTTTTAATTCCACGTAAGTGAGATCATATGGTATTTGACTTTCTCTGACCTACTTCACTTAGCATAATGCCCCGAAGGTCCATTCCTGTTGTCACAAATGGCAAGATTTCCCTCTTTTTTATGGCTGAATAATATTCTAGTGTATGTTTTCTTTATCCATTCATCCGTTGATGGACACTTACGTTGCTTCCATATCTTGGCTATTGTACATAATGCTGCAGTGAACAGGGTGGTGCCCATGTCTTTTCAAGTTAATGTTTTCATTTCCTTCAGATAAATACCCAGAAGTGGAATTGCTGTACTATATGGCAGTTCTGTTTCTAACTTTTTGGGGGAACATCCATACTGTTTTCCATGGAGGCTGCATCAACTTAGACTCCCACCAACAGTGCACAGAGTTCCCTTTTCTCCAAACCTCAGCAACACTTGCTATTTGTTGTCTTTTTGATGCTAGCCATTCTGGCAGGTATGAGGTGATATCTCACTGTGGTTCTGATTTGCATTTTCCTGATGATTAGTGATGTTGAGCATCTTTTCATGTACCTGTTGGCCATCTGTACGTCTTCCTTGGAAAGTGGAGGAACTTTAAACTGATTAGCAAAGCTAGGTACAATTCATGTTCTCTGGGCTTCTGAGCTGATGGAACCTGTCTTGAGAGCAGGCATGCTCTACCAAAATATCTCTTACTGTACTATCTAAAATTTCATCAACAGAGCTAATCTCTCATGAGTTATAAAGGCTGTGGTATATGAGAGAGAGAGAAGGAAAGGGAGGATCTTTAAGGTAGCCTATTAAAAATGAAAACTTCCACAAGGAGACAAGTACTATAAGTTGTTACTAAAAATAGCATCAAAAAAATCTCTATAATTTGTGCAGTTAAAATAGAGAGGAAAACATCAAGAAGAACATTTGAAAGGATAGATCAGGGGCCGAAAGTGGACTTTGCTTGTTTCAAACCTGTTGAGAACCAGCCTTTGTGGATTTTTAAAGAAAGTTGTTAGGGGGCTTCCCTGGTGGTGCAGTGGTTGAGAGTCTGCCTGCCGATGCAGGGGACACAGGTTCGTGCCCCGGTCTGGGAAGATCCTACATGCCGCTGAGCGGCTGGGCTCGTCAGCCATGGCTGCTGAGCCTGCGCGTCCGGAGCCTGTGCTCTGCAACGGGAGAGGCCACAGCAGTGAGAGGCCCACGTACAGAAAAAAAAAAAAAAAAAAGAAAGTTGTTAGGAGCAATGACACTGGCCCATGTCTTCAGCCCCTCTACATGCTGTTCCAGTCCTGTGTAGTCAAGCAAGCTTCCTTTGAAGTATTATCTAAGTGAGAGGCTGGTTCCCTGTAAGAGGAAATTGACTCCGAATTTTTATCAACTGCCCAAAGAAATTAATGTCCTCAGAAGGAGCTTGAGGACACTGTCAGAATTAAAAAGAACTTGGTGACAATTTAACAATGAAAAGTCACTTTTAAGCCTTCAGAGGAGCCAGACTATGAAAATTTAAAGGGATCCATTGGTGGTTGTTTAAAATGCAAAATTCACTTTAATTTTGAAAATGAATTGAAGTTCTTGAACTGTATTCCTTGTAAAAGTTACTGGTTTGCATCCCACTGAACCCCAAGACACAAGAAGGCTGGTTCATTTCTTCTCTCCCATCCTCCTTCCTTCCTGTCTCTATTATATCTGAACCCTTAGTACAGTGCCTAGTTAATTGGTAAGAAATAGAAATTAAATGAGTTACTGTCAAATGAAACTGGTACAATGCTCAGTTTAATTGCCAGACACAGATTGGAGACTGGAAAATGTGGTATACGTTATATAGCCATGCACTTGAGAGATTTAAAAATTCTAACTGGCTGTGATTTCTCATGAATTTCTTAAAGGTGTCATTGAGGGACTTGCCTGAAGGCATGAGCTCAGAGAGTTGGATTTTAGAAGTGCAAGAATAATATGAGATACAGAAGCAAACCATCCATGTGGAATTCCTTTCATTTGCATTTCCACGTATAACTTTGGATGGAGTCCTAAAGGATAAGTGAGGCTTATAATTTGTAAAAAAATAAATAAATAAAATAAAATTCTCCAATTCCTCTTTGATCTGCAGGATCACAAATTTCATTTATTATTGAAATTTTTTGTAAAATATGCTGAGTAAAATGCAAGAATCATTTCACTTATTTACTTGGCAATATGAATTTGGGAATAAAAATAAGATCACATTGACAGGCACAAATCTGTATTTCTCTTTGTGGTAGGTTGTGTGAATGGCCACAAATCCTTTCCCTCTTTCCACTCATACACATAGAATGTGACATTAGAAATCCTTTTATCAAGAGATAGAGCTCATGTCCTTACCCCTTCGATCAGGGTTGGCCATGTGACTTACTTTAACCAGTGGGGCATTAGCAGATATGCCTCAAGTAGAGTTTTGAAAAATGCTTGCATGTTGCACTTGTGTTTCACAGCCCTGGGGACCCATGTGAAGAAGCCTAGGCTACCCTAGTGGGTGATGACAGGACACACAGTTGTGCTGGCAGGTAGAAGCAGAGCCACTTAGCTCACCATGGGTGCATGATTTAGCCCACGTGGGGCAAGCAGAAGAAGCATCCCACTGTGCCCAGCCTAAATTGTGAGCTAGATAAATATTTGTTTTAAGCCACTCAGTTTGGAATGGCTTGTTATTCAGCAGTAGATAACTAATACACCCTGGTAGTGCTGTGCAGGAATTCCACCCTTTCTTAAATTCCTCCTCAGTAGTTCTAGGGGTCCCCAGTGGATTTCGCTGATGTTCTTTGAGGTATAATACTCTTGGCTGCTACGACTCACCTATGTTCCTCCTCTTTGACTCAGGGACCCTGTGGTGCCGGTGTCTTTGGTGGTGGTCAGTGCCCAAAGGGGCAGTTCTGCTGGTGACACTGGAGATGACAGCCCTCCTAGCATCTACCAGAGATGCCCACACTGTAATGTGCAATCCAACTCATGTTGGGACCTCTGCTGTTTCATAATTAGGACAAAGGGAGAGGGATAATTAGGACAAAATCATAAAAGATGTGTGATTTGAGAGCTGGAGGGACCTTAGAGATTATCTATTCTCATTTTATAAAACTTCTCATTTTATAAAAGAGGATCCTTGCACAGAGAACTTTATCACTGGCCCAAGGTCCCATGATATATGAATGCCAGATCTGGGACCAGAACAGAAATCTTTTCATTCCAATTCTAGGGATTATTTCCATTCATTTAAATCAGTTTTGCTTTTCTTAATTTTCCAAAAGAATGTAGGTTTTGGGAGAACTTACCAAGAGTGATAAGTAAAAAGTCTGAGGTGTGATTGTAATGGGAGACAGGTACCCATTTTGATTGTAATGGGAGACAGATACCCATTTTCCCTTTCAGATTTGTGTCAGCCTGTTTAAATGGCTGTTTCATTTGAGAAGTGCTTTGGAGATGGAGCTATAGTTTAAGCAGGCCTGGTGATATTTGGAGACCTAAGCAGCTTCTCCCAGCCAATCAGGGTCGCATGCAGTTGGAGTGGTGCGCTCTGAGGAAACTCACACAGCTCCTTGTGCTGTCTGCCTTAGCCCAGACACTGATTCCACACTGGAGCACACTTGGTCCATATGGGGGGCCTCAGAACCACCTCCACATTACTGCGACCTCGGGTGGGAGTAAGGCTCAGTACAGCAGAGAGAGGTCTGGAGTGCCGACAGCCATGGTTGCCAGACTGGATCCTATGTTGTGGGGATTCTACTGTACTGCAGGGACAGCAAGACTTATAGGATGCAGGACACTAAAAGTGCTATAGGGTGTCCATATCCCAGTATCAAACCGTAAAGTTCCCCCCCGAGCCCCTGGATCCTGAGGGCCTGCAGCTCTTCTCTCTGTTCAGGTGACAGATGGCCCTTTGGAGGCATTCCCTTTCACCTTCACTAAGAGCATCGTGACTGGTTTTTGCTTGCAAAGCTTGAGAAGCCTTGGAGAAGTTGGGGGTTGGAGCCACTGAGGGGGAGGGTACACATCTATGTTCTCGGGAA